TTGACGTTGTGGGATGAAGAGGAGAACCCCTCAATTACGACGGATATCTTGCGGCCAGAGATAAAGCCAGCCACCCGTTTGCAAAGCTTTTCTGGGACGCCATAGGATGGAAGTTTGCTTAAGAGGGCAGCGTGCCACAGCTGATCGAACGCTTTCGTTATGTCAAGAGCAACGATATGAGCCTCACCATAAGACTGGATGAGTTTACTCCACAATTGAGTGACGTAAGCTAGGAGGTCCCCTGTGGATCGTTGGTGACGGAAACCATACTGCCTGTCGCTAGTCAAGCCGTCACGTTCAAGGTAGTCCAGAAGCTCGCGATTTATGCACCTCTCCATCACCTTACTTAAAACAGAAAGCAGAGCTATAGGCCTGTAGTTGTAAGGGTCGGTCTTAGATCCCTTTTTTCGGATGGGTTGGACATGAGCAAATTTCCAGTTTTCTGGTAAGGTGCTGGATTCATAAGATATCTGGAAGAGACGCGAAAGAACTGGAGCAAGCTCCGGAGCAGTACAATGGCAGGAATCAGGTCCGGACCAGAAGCTTTGTTGATGTCGAACGACAAGAGCACTCGTCTTACGGTCTTATGCCTGAATGTTACCTCCCGCATAGTGTAGGGAACCCTTTGAGTTGACGGCACTTGGGCGTTGGGGGGAACGTCCATGGTGGAGTTGGCAGCAAAGATCTTGGCTGGCACTTCCGCCTTGGCCTTTGAGTTGAATACAATAGTTCCATCCTGACACGTAAGTGGTGGAAGGCTACTGTGTGAGAAGTTCTTTTCAATCTGCTTGGCCAGCGTCCAGAAAGACCGACTGCCATTGCGCTGCGACATTACCCTGTGCCTAACTTTTATATCGTGCTAGGTTTTGGCATTGCGAACCGCTGCTTTATATTTGTTTCTGGACTCAACGTCGGCTTGTCTGTTCTCTACAGTGTGGTTTTGTCAGAAGGTTCTGTGTGCCTTGATCTTCTGCTGATGAGATCGTGTCTTGAGACCATCTTCAGACTGCCTATAGACAAATTGCGCAACGGGGTTTACTAGTGTGTACCAAGCTTAAGGATTAATACTCTGAACTACCCGTTTACCTCTTAACTGCTACTAGCGATGTCCACTACCTTCTTGCCAGTGCACCCCAAAATTGTCGCTTGCAGATATATCCGTCATACAGCGTCAGCGTAGCTAGAGGCTGCCCTCAGGGCGGAGTTCTGTCACCCCTACTGTGGTGCATCGTGGTAAACGAACTGCTAGTTAGGCTCAGTTAGTGTGGGTGTCTACGTGTAAGCCTATGCTGATGACGTAAGCATAGTAGTTAGGGGACGTTTTTGTAGAACAGTCTCGGAAATTATGCAGGGCGCTCTGCGCTCTGAGGAATCGTGGTGTAGGGAAGTCGATCTTTCTGTTAATGCTGAAAAGATCGAGCTGATCCTATTTACTAGGAGAAGAAGGCTTGACGGGCTGGTCATGCCGACCTTCTTTGGGACTAGATTAATTTTATCCCAATCAGTGAAATATCTGGGAATTATTGAATAATTAAATTATATATTAAATTGAATATAAGGTTAGCAAGGCTCGTAATTCAGTGTGGGCCTGTAGACGCGTTGTCGGTGTAAGGTGGGGGCTTAAACCCGAAGTGGTATACTGCCTCTACACGACGATAGTACGTCCATCTCTCTTGTACGGCTCCCTGGTCTGGTCACCTTGCATTAGAACTGAGACAACTAAGGCCAAACTCAATAAAATTCAGCGTTTGGCCTGTAGTAGCATTACAAGCGCAGTGCGAACAATGCCATTGAGCGCAATGGAAGCTCTGTTGGATCTCCCACCGTTGGATCTGGTGGGCCTATGAGAAGAATAACAATCTTATCCGACAGCCAGACTGCAATGAAAGCACAAAGTGCCTGTAAGATTACTTCGAGTCTTGTACCGGGGTACGCTGGGATAAGGGGCAATGAGACGGCGGACACTCTGGCGAAGCCAGCAAGCTCGTTGGTACTGAGCCAGATCTATGAGTGACCGCGGATAGAGCTAGGAGGGAAATGGAGACGTGGATTGCAAGACAACACTCTCAGAAATGGAAAATTATCTCTAGACATCTCCGCCAGGCACGGAAACTCATTGAAGGGCCCAGTGCTAAGGATGGACGTTTCTGCCTATCTCTGGATAGAGCCAACCTAAGGTTGCTGATGGGACTGTTGTCTGTCCGAAACACGTTAAGGCGCCACCTGCACGTGATGGGGGTGGCTGAGGATCCCTTGTGAGAACGCTGCGGGGTAGAGGAAGAGACCTCGGCGCACGTGTTGTGTCGCTGTGATGCTCTGAGCTACTATAGGCAGACTATACTAGGGTCCATTACTTTGGACCCTCAGGACGTTAAGGAGCTTGGACTGAAGGCGATTCTCAACTTCGCTAAAAGGGCGAGGCTTGTGATCTAAGGAATGTAGAGGTGCATAAGGGCCCGCTTAAGCGGCCTATGCACTGGCTCCTTATGGTGGCCGGAATGCCTCTAACTTCAAGATTTATTCATTCATATCCGTCATACCCATACTACAAATCAAATGTAGTCAAATATTATCTATTTTAGAGCTTTCAATCTGTTTTAATGATAAAAATACTTATTTATTGAATTAAAACAAATACTTATTTTTATATATGTTTTTTTACACACAAAATATTGTTTTTTGTTTATACAGGGTGGCCCATAAGTCCTTTGAGCTGGAAAAAAAGGAATAAAACCAAACTAGTTACATTATGAAGAATTATTATATTTTGTTATCATCTTTATTGAATGGAAATTATGTTTTAAAAATCACATCGTCTAAATGCAATCCATTACGATCACGGCACTCATATAAACGACGTCTGAAATTGTCGATGACTGCGCGGCAAGTCAACACTGTAATGCTTGCCATTTCTCTTCGGATATTTTCTTTCAGGACATCAACTGATCGCGGAGTGGTGTCGTACACTTTACTCTTGAGGTAGCCCCATAAAAAGAAGTCCATTGGGGTCAAATCTGGACTACGTGGTGGCCAGGAAATGTCTCCTCTTCGAGAAATTACTTTGCTGGGAAAAAGTTGACAGACGACGGGCATAGAAGTGTTGGAGGTGTGGGCAGTTGCTCCGTCCTGTTGAAACCAGGTCTGCGTATTATAGCCTGGAAAATTCTGCAACGCTGGTGTCAAAAACTCTTCTATCATTGCTACATACCGCTCTGAAGTAACAGTTAATGCGTCTGTCGTCCTCAAAAAATAAGGGCCTACGATGCCATGCGCTGACATAGCAGCCCAAACTGTAACTTTAGGGCTGTGTAAGGGCTTCTGATGCTTACGCCTTGGATTTTCGGGGCTCCAATAACGCCAATTTTGTTTATTTACATGCCCGTTTAAATGGAAGTGAGCCTCGTCCGAGAACAACACATTATTGAGCGAAGAAAATCGATTCAACATTTCATTCGCAAAGTTTAGTCTCTGAATAGCGTCATTATCTTTTAATTCCTGCACTAACTGAATTTTGTAAGCGTGCAGACGTAAATCTTTCCTTAAAATCCGCTGTGAAGATGTTCTGGGTACGTATAGTGCACTGGAACGCTTACGAGTAGACTGGGTAGGATTTTGACGAACAGACTGTGCCACAATGTTGATGTTTCCTTCAATACGAGTTGTCCTTGGTCGACCCCACCGCTGTTTATCTAACGTCGAACCAGTCTCTTCGAACTTAGCAACCCAGTTCTTAATCGTTTGAGCTGTTGGACACTTTGTAAAATTGTGTAAATTGTGGTATTCTCGATATTTACGCCGCGCAATGGTTGCCGAATCATTATTTTGATAAAACGCGCGCACACAAAAAGCACGATCCGCTCCAGTGAAACACTCCATGGCGACTGAATTCCCAGACACTGAAGATACTGCCCCCACCTCGCCCGCGCCGCTCACGCTCACCCGTTAAATTTTATTCAAATTTGAAATTTCAAAGGACTTATGGACCACCCTGTATATACGTCATACGCTGAGCATACATTTTTTATTTGGTTTTACCAAAAAGTACCACACAATCAGGCAATTAATCATTTTATTTTTTTAACGAAAAGAACATAAACATTTGATACAAACTCAAACATATAAGTCATAAAAATATGGCTTGAAAAACATTATAATATTTTGGAAAAATAAATAAACTCAAACATACCTAAGCTCAAATTAATAACGTATTTCCGTATAGAACAAGCCGAAACAAGGTGCCGGACATAAACCGGTTCTGCTTTCTAACCACCAGTACATAGTACTCCTTTCGAATTTTTTTCAAAGCAATTATGACACCCTTTTGTTGGGTTCTCCTTATTTGGTGTGGGGGAATAATGGATGGAAAGTGGCGCTCTACAAAGCGTTATATGATCTTGCGCGTCGAAGTTCTTGACCAACAGGTACATTATATCTTTTAATCTACTTTTCCCCGAGCTCCATGACCAAGTTTAATCTTGTTTTCTTACCACCACTTTGTTTGTACAAAATATAGGAGTTTAAAATTGCAATATTCAATAAATGAAAATACATTTCATTATAATACTTTGTTATATGAGTTCTGTCGAGGGGATAGAAATGTAGAAAACTGCCCGATAAATCCACCCCACCCATATCTTTATTATAACACAAAACAACATCTGTTTTTTTTATTTGTTTGTCACGCTTTTCTATTTCAACCATTCTATTGTCGTGAAGAGTGCTAATCATAGTGGTGTCTCTTTTATCCTTTCATTCCATGATCATCATTTTTCTTTTGAACATAGCCACAGACTCTCCTTTTACTATTTTTTTGTTTCTATGTCTTGCGGAATTCCCTTCCGATTAATCCGACCAACAGATTTGTTTTTTCCCGGGAAATAAACACCCATAAACTTATTTTGTAAATGTTCAATGATAGGCTTTATTTTCTACAATTTCCGTATTTTAGGATCGTTTTCGAGAAAATTGTTGTCAGTAAAATGTTTAAACCCACGGGAGATCTACAGGTTCAATATATTTGCTTCCCCTTCGTCTTCAGATATACTAAATTCGATATCAGAGCCATCCTCATATGAATTTTCATAATCACTATCCTCTAAATCACTCTGGGTACTACTGTCGGAGTGTTCTGACCCTCCAGAGTAGAACAAATCAGTCAATTCCGCTTTCTTTTGTGCCATTGTAAACAACGAAATGCCCGCCGGTTATGTACTACACGCGACCTGATCTAAAAGTAGACCGAAAATTGGGTAGCAATGTAATGGTTGGCAGGGGTAAGGGTGCGGAATCATAATATCTATAGGAGGCGAGTATATTCTTCAAATTCACGGAGAGGACCACCTAAAACTGTCGGCGAGTATATTCGTCATGAGCACCAAGCCTAACTTTTTTGCTGGTAGTCGGATCTTTTTACGTGTGGACTCATTTAGTAGGTCTCATAAATACTTAAAAATCGAATAAGGAGAGTTTTTTGGTCCTTGCCAGTTATTTCATTTGAATCCCAAAAACACGTTTTCTCATTCTTTGTTGTCGAACAAAAAGTTTTCCCACAAAAATTGGTGTACCCATTTTATGCGTCCATGTTTTGAATACCGCCTTGAGCAACTTGCAGCAATAAAACCAGACTTTAGAATTATTTCGCAAACCAGCGGCATTTTCTTCAGGTAAGATTAGACTATTAGTGCTTCGCTGCAACACCAACCTCGAACAGTCAAGCTTTACACACTTTTCAAATTACTATTGAGCAACAAACAGAACTTGAATCACTTTTTAAGTGCAATCTGTATAGTTAATATATTGCTTAGACTTAGATTTGTCACAAGTCACAATACTCGTATATACGTATAAATCGTAAGAATTGTGCTGTAAAGGTAACTGATGTGGAAGGATACCGAAAAATCGCAATGCTCAGTTCCTATAACTTATCGTTAGTATGACTCTGTCGCCATGATGTGTTAAAAAGCAACACCATGGTGTTACATTACAAAAGCAAGTGTCGGGCGTCTAGGGGGGGGGAGGCGCGCGCCCCCCGCTCCCCCCTCTAAATCCGCTACTGTGTAGTGCTGTCATCAGCAAACCTGTGGATTACATAAAACTTTCAAATATGAGATGTTTCATTGTACTGTTGTGTTATATGTATCGTATACTGTTAGAAGTTGAACAACGTATAGATAAAGTCTAACTCTGATGTTAATCATTTGAAAAATATGAAGTATAGCTAAAGGATACATTCACTTTGTATTGTCACGCGTTGTTTACTTTACATTTTTGAAAATTATTGTTGGAATTGCTATTGGAGTATTTTTCCAAAAAATAGTTGTCAAAGTCGGACACCTAGTAAAAATTGTCAATATTCAATTTGAGGTTTTGTAGGTTATGCAAGAGTACATAATATATTTAAGACAAATACGTAGTTTTTATTCACAAAAATTGCAGGCGCATACTTTTTTCTATTACCTTCCTTCCTTCGTCCCATCTTCTTATTTCTGAAGGCATTAATAACAGTTTATTGATTAGTTTTTCCCGTTAACCTTTCCGGATTTGAGGGGGAGAACTTCAAAATAAAGATGGAAAAAACCACTTCAAGAGAAAAGTGAACCAAAGATCTTAAAAATATATAGATATAACTGATTACTTACAAATATCTAAGAATAAAAATCAAAATAGTAGCGCTGCCCAAAAACTGTTTGACTACCAAAACACTTAATTATGTACAAACAAGCCCCTCTACGTCATGGTAGATATCTAAGCGACCATTTACGCTTGCAAATAATAGAGTTTCAGAAAATGCAGAACCAATGAGATCAAGGGTCCGCTTCATGGGAGGGTTCCAGCTCACACGAAGTGATGCCACTTAACAGATCCTTTCTCAATCGTTAATCTGATGTATTTCCAAATTTGTCGTTTCGACACAATAAATATTAAGGATTTCTTTCTAACTCAAAAGATTTCTTACTTATCGGTGTACGAAGGTTGATCGAGAAATAGAGTTCCCTAGAGCCTGCACACTAGAAGGTGCGAGGCAAAAAATATGGCGAGAAGTGTATGTCCATTTAGTATGTCTCCACGTCAGTTTGCTATCCATATGGAGCCCAAGATATTTCGCTGAAATGGACTGGGGAACAGCTGTGTTATTAATATATACTGGTGAACAGTTCCCTTTCCGTAGTGTGAAGGTTACTTGCTGTGATTTGTTTTCATTAATTTTTATCTTCCATTTCTTCATCCATGTTTCCACCATTTCTAGATGATCTTGTAGAGAATTCGAAGCTAACGTTGAATCGCTGTTGCTGGCAAGGATTACTGTATCATCGGCAAATGTTCCTGTGACTGTATTTTGGGAAATAGGAAGATCTGCGGTGAACAAGGTGTACAACATTGGTCCTAAAACGCTGCCCTGGGGAACTCCTGATTTGATAGGATGGAAACTCGATGTTGAAGTATTTTATGGGTAGTACAGTTTTTATTTTAAACAGCAGACCATCATACCAAACTTTATCAAACGCCTGACTTACATCCAAAAATACTGATGTGCAGTACTGTTTATTTTCTAGTGCTGAATTAATTGTTTGTACCATTCTGTGTGATTGCTGTATGGTAGAGTGTTCACTCCGAAATCCAAACTGATGGTTGGGGATCCAGTTTTTTTCTGGCAAATCGTTATTAATCCTACGTAGCAGTAATCTTTCCAGAATCTTTGAGACTATTGATAATAATCTTATTGGTCGATAGGATGAAGTTATTCTTGGGTCCTTCCCTGGTTTAGGTATAAGTATAATATCTGCAGTCTTCAGTTGTTCAGGCCAATAACTGAGTCTGAGGATTGCGTTGTATATATACATTAACATCAGTATTGCGTTGTTTGGTAGTTCTTTCATGATTTTTGGTGTGACTTTATCAATACCAGGTGCTTTTTGATAAATAGGTTATTTATTTCAGTTTTCACTTGTTTTGGGGTGAGCAGTTTGATTGCTGAGTAATGGGATGGTAAGTTGGTAAGCTGCTCGACTATTTCTTGATCCGGTATATCGTCATTAGGAGTAAATACATCAGCCAGGTATTGTGCAAATAAGTCTGCTTTTTCTTTATCGCTACGCGCCCATTGTTGCGGAACATTGTCTGTCTGTCTTCGTAAAGGCGACACTGGTGTTTTGGGTTTATTCGAAGATTTTATCGGTCTCCAGATCGAATTGTCAAATCTATTAAGATTAGTGACATACTCTTGCATGGAAATATCATTGAGTTTTTTGATCTCACCCTTCAACTTTTCAGTAGCTTGGTTGTACTTTCTTCTGTCTGTAGGTGCATGGGTTCGTTGCCATACTGCTCTAGCTTTTCTTTTTACAGCTATCAATCTTTTATTTTTTCCGGGATGCTAGCATTTGTTGTTCAGGACTTTGATGACGCGTAGATTGGGATACTGCCTGTACTAATATTTCAATGAAGTTTGACAGGGCTGCATCGATATCCTGTGGTGTCTTCAGAGTCACATCCAAATTGATCATTTCATTTATCGGCTCTTTGTACCTATTCCAACTTGTAGATTTGTTATGTAGTCTAGGAGGTGGCGGTCTGAATATAGGTGAAGAGCTTATAGTTGCTATTATTGGGGAGTGGTCTGATGAGAGGTCGTAGCTTGGTGAAACATCCGTATACGTGTGGGATACTCCATTAGTAATGAAAAAATCAAGAAGATCTGGTATTTTCTGTCGATCTGTGGGCCAATATGTCGGCGATCCTGTGGAAAGGTAATGGTAGTTTCCTTTTTGTATTATTTTGGCGAGTTCTCTAACTTTAGGTGTAATCAAACGTGATCCCAGAGAGTATGTTTACTATTGTAATCACCACCGGCAATAAGCTTGGAGCATAGGGATTTGAAGAATTCTGCGAAATTTTCTTCCTTATTGTTATGACGGGGTGGGCAATATACTGCAGCGACTGCTAACTGATAAGATGTCATTTTTACACTAATTGCTGTACCTTGCAGGTAATCTTCCTCGAATTTTGGCAACTCGTAGTGGTTGATGTTGGACTTTATTATGATCGCCGTTCCAGCATGCGCAGTATTATCAGGGTGATTGGTATGATAGGTTATGTAATGTGGAATATTGAAATAAGACTTATCAGTAAAACGTGTTTCACTCACCAGAAGAATATCCACCCTATTTTGCTCAAGAAACAATTTTACTTCTTCTTTGTGCTGCAGAAGACCGTTGGCATTCCACAATGCAACTTTCAAGAACTTGAATGAATCTTATTCAGCAGTGTAGATAGCATGTTTAAAATCATGCTGTTTTGCTGTATAAGCTGATCAAACATCACCTTGAACTCTTGGAGAAACTTGCTCAGGGACATTGCCTGTTCTTCTGCTTGTTGGATGTTGTTTTGGTATCCTGATGTCGCTGCTGCATAACTCATATTTGGTTGCGCGTGTGAAGATCTTTGGGTTGACTGGATTGCTGCTGTAGGTTGGTTCGTTGTAGTAGATTCAGCTCTCGTCGTTCCGTTTCTTTGAAGATTTAGTGTGTTGTTAGGATTGTTAAGCTTTTTCAGTTTTTGGTAGAACTCGCATCCTTTATAATTGGCCGGATGTGGACCATCACATAGTGCACATTTGGCAGGGATATCTTTGATTTTCTTACAACTGGACGTGCTGTGTGGCCCTCCACACTTAACGCAGACAAATGGTCTCTTACAATAGGTTTTTGTATGACCATACTGCTGGCACCTCATACATTGGATCGGGCCTTTCTGGGTTCTTAGTGGCTCTACATGAATCACTTTGTTTTGTAGAACTGTCAGGTCATAAATATCTTTGTCAAACTGACGTGGAAACAACATATCATTAAAAAAAGAAAACAAATAGACTTGCGTGTGAAAGAATTATCCTGGCTGCTTGGGAGAATATCCAAATTATCTCTGTCAAATAAGCTTCTGGTATATAACACCATCATCAAGCCAATATGGGCATATGGAGCAGAACTATGGGGCTGCGCAAGTAAATCTAATATTCAGATAATCCAGAGGAGTCAATCGAAAGTACTCCGTATGATAACTGATGCCCCTTGGTATGTGACCAATGACACTATCCACAGAGATCTCAATGTTCCATAGGTGAAAGATGTGATTCGAGAGAGGAGCAAGAAACACCACAGAAAACTGGAAAATCACAGTAATACATCATTACAACCTCTATTAGAACCCCCTAACCGCAGACGACTTAAGAAATATTGGCCAGCAGACCTACTTGATGTTTGAAGAGGTCTCATCACTGGATGGGACTTCATCATGCCACAACTAGTGCTGTGAACAGTACTATGGACAGCAGATTAGCTTATAGAATTGTTAATTTCTGATTGCTAATAAAGGATTGATTAAAAAAAAATTAAAAAAAAAAAATTTTAGTATGTCTGAAAGTGATGCAGGGAGTTTAGGGTAAACCTCTACAATTTTTTTTAGAGTTCAGTAAATCCTAGCTGTTAGAGTTGATAATGATGTGTTACAGAATAAATAAAGGAGCGGTCATTTGTTAATCTTATAGCACTTATATTTGACATGAAATATTTTACGATGGCGTACAAGGTATTTTTTTTTAACTTTAGGTGCAGCATCCCTCGACAAAATGCCTCAGTTCTGCTGCAAAATGCCCTTTTATAATAAAATGAAAGACACCCTTAAAAAGCAACAAACATTCTTTATTATCGCTTATAATATCTCCTATAGAATAAGCAAAAACCTAAAAAAAAAAATTACATAAAGCGTAAAGAGTCATCATACCACTCTCTCTCGCATAAAAAAACAAAACTTTGAAAAAATAACATAAGTACTACTAGATCTATTACCTATTAAGTTGAAACAATTTTTTTAATCCATCCTGAAAGTCATCATATCTCTCTCATGGTTGGCACTTCTTTCTACTTCTAATAGCTTCGATCTCGTGTATCCAAAAAGAGCAAGATGGGCACTCTATCCAATCTTCTCTAGAAGTCGGCTTATAATTATTATCTATACATTCCTAACACCTGTTTTCATTTTCTTATGATATTTCTTCATTCGAACCACTTCGGCTTTCTTCCTCATCACTTTCACTCTCTGATTATTCATGCTTTGGTTTATTTTTCTTTGCTTTAGCATTTTCTTTGTTTTTTATTTTAATTGCTTTCTTTGAAGCTTCATGTTTTCAAATGCTTTGATTTTTTTAGAAGTTCCCGCAGGTTTTTTCTTCTCATCAATAATTTTCTGTTTTTGTATATTTTCTGGCGACGTCAAAATAACAGCTTTCTGTTTTCTCTTGCAAAACAGGTAGCTTCGGTACAGGGTGTACTTTAGCCAAAATCTTCGTCGTTTCTTTTTCGGGAAATTCGCAGAGTATATCCGGACGTTTCGGAGGCGTTATTTGAATTGGTGGCTCCAGTGGTACTATATTTGGCTGCGACAGTTCTATACTAGTATGTGGGTCTTCTTTGTCAATCCTTTGATTATCACTTGCCAGAACACATCTATGGTACTTCTGAAGCATTGATATCTTCTTGCTCCAAAGGATTTTGATCTCTCTGCAATAGGAAATGACATCTTCCTCATTAGGTTCATTTACTACTAAATCTTGATCTTTTAGAGCATCAGATGAAGACAAATAGTGTTCTGGAATAGCATTTGGGTCGTAAACAAAGAAAATATATGACTGTAAAACTGGGCCATATTAAACTATGACAGCCGGGGCATTTTGTAAATTTTCAATTACAATACGCCACAGGGTAAACATGACCGGCATGGAAGATTTATGACTGTGAGCAACACGTAAAATTGTAGGTTATCTATCACGGTTTCCATTGACGGCATAGACCTAAATGTAAATTTGATACAAAAAATAGGTCACTATATTCAATAATTTGTACAGTACTCACCGCAATATGTCTCAAGGTCGTATTTAAAGATTTTACTATAATTTATTTATGCATTGCATGCGCGTCCCAACCCGTTGTCTATATCAGTCTGTTTGAGCGATAGTGTTGTGGGGCATATTGCCCGCTGAGGCGTATTGTAGAGGTATACCCTAGTGCTGTTCCGAAAGAAGTGCCCGATGAAGAACGGAGAGGGTCTAACGCGAATTGGAACAGGATGATCAACATCGGTAAATTCCCAGGAATCTGTGCAACAAGTTCACGGAAGGTATCCTGTTTTGAAGCACTCCGCATTGGACCATCTCGATAGCCGCCTTCTGGACTGACAGTTGTCCACTACGTTCTGCATAGTAGACTTCCGACCGGCACTAAACTCCCTCCACCACCTTTCGGACAAATGCTTGTGCCCGTCCCTAAGATAAACGTTTTTGCGATATCGCAGGGATACATCCTAGGACCACTATATTTGTCCACGATTTCAATAGCAACAAACACGTCATGTATGCAAATGATACTTCTGTGCTGATTACTTCCAACAATGTTCCGACTATGGTACAAGTTGCTGGTGAAGCGTTGAGAAAAATACAACAGTGTTGAACAGATAATGGCTTGATGATGAACACTGCAAAAAGTTCTTACGGATTTCCCTTACCCAACACAGTCCAGACTATAGCTTGTTAATTAGATCTCTAAGGGCCGATTTTACCAACATTAATATTATGGACCAATGGGAAAATACCTTATCGAAATGCAATTTGACAGAAGCTGTCAAAGGTCTCTGAATATTAGTGATTTCTATTGAAATATTCAATAAAATCGTGAAAATTCGACTGTATTATAAACAATACCACTTTTTGATTCCAACATGAAAAAACAGGACAACTTTCATGTATTTTGATATATGTTATAGGTTTACATTTAACAAACCGTTATCCCCTTCAGCGAATGGGAATGCGGCAAATAATAGATCGATTTTCTAGCTGTTAAATTTGGCAGCAGATTTGGACGTTGGCTAATGCATGGCACTCTCGAATTTACCACCTTCAATATACTGAAAGTTATCATTACATACCTGTTGAATAGTGTGGATTTGTCTGTATTTTGCAAGAAAATAGAATATAAAATACATTCCATCCAATTCCTCATCTTCCTTTACGTCATAATAGTAATCATTTAGTAATTTATGGGTTAATGAATTTCTTCAAAGCAATAAAAACATTATGTCCTCTCCATCCTAAAACACAGATAATATGTGTAAGACGTGTCAATCCCTACATATCCCTGATGCATAATGCAATTACTATGAACATAAACAAAATATTATGAAAAATGTTTCACAAATAATGTCCCTTAAGTCCAAAAAACCATAAAAACTAGTAATGTTTTTCTTTTTGACTGGCGGGGATATCTATCTGTCACTCGCAGGGTTGCCAAGTCTAACGACGATCACGTCCCGTGGTGGAGGGTGCGAAATGAATCTTTTACATTTGCTAGTTTTGAATTTATTTCGTGAAAATTTACTAGGTATCATGATTATAAGCATCTTTGGTAGATTGTTCGATCCGGCATGGGAAAGATCTCCTATTTATGAAAATACTTTTGATACCACCTAACCGTTGCAATCAGTGCAGAAAAACACTGTGACATATGATTTATAGCATAACCCGCTGCCCTATCATTACAAATTTAACATACAGGTCGTCTAGCCGTGGGGATGCAGTGGTCGGGATGAATATCACGGCAGCAACTGATGATTTGGGCATGTCTGGTAAAAACGTATGAAGTGAAACTCGCTAACTTTACAAATTTGAAGATTTTGTACAATTTCTTTGAAGATGATGAAAGATATGTCTGATTTGGCAGGGTAATGTCGCAGCCAAATGACAGTCACTCTTTCTGACATAGTCCGAATCGAAAGATGACGATACTCGTGAAATGTATTGATACTTCTAAATATAGGATCGTATCGAACATCCCTACTGTCAAGATGTATAACCCAAGGTATCGACGGAGCTATTTTGCGGCGTCGTGGAAATAATTTTAAATTTTCATTTGCATTTTTTCAAGTGTTGTGTTGTGTTTTGGGAAAAATGTCACGAATAGTATAGTAGAGTAGAGTAGAGCATAGTAGAGTATATATCAACAGTTGGCGGAACTTACTCCACTGGGACCAGGAGGGTGAAACGGGATATTAATGCACAATCTGGCAACCCTGTCGCACCCTCACAAAATGGCCGCTGACAACCACACAAGTCACCGTGTTGTCATTGAATAGCATGTAATTAAACCTTCAGAGTATATGTTTGTGACTGGTACCAACAGTTGACAGATCCCACACGTGTCACTCCTTGAAATGCAATAATCAGCTGTATTCAAATAATGTCTAATATAAATATAACCTAGAATGTGTACTCGTGAAAAAGAAAAATATGGCAAATTTGTAGTTTTTTTTGCAGGTTTTAGGTTTGCTGGTAGCTGTGAATATAGTGTGGATGTTTGTTCAGTTCCTGAACAACGAAAAATATTCAACTTTATGGATGTATGGATATTAAAAAACCTGAATGGTTTTGTGGGAATATCAATCTAAGGTGCCATAATGGTTCTGATGAACGGCAAGTAAATGAATGAATGTTTGGGAACGAGCAATATCTTTTGGTCTTATAGATTATTTTAAAACAAGAAAAGTGTGGATGAAGCACTTTTTTCATGAAAATTTTTTAACAAATCACTGTATTTTTAGCAGTTTTTCCACCATTAACTCCACCGCCATCCACCGTATGACGTTGACGTCTGTGCATATATCTTAGTATATGAGAGGCGCTTGTCTGCACTGTTGCCAGACTGGGCTCCGCGAAAAGCTGAAACAGCCAACAGTGGCAAAATAAGTGATTCTTAATAATTATATAACAAAATATAACAGTAGTAAACTAAAAAACAATTGTAAATAATTATAAAAACAGTAAAACAAGAAACAATTCCATGTAATTATAGAAAACAAAAAAGAACACAGGGAACTGTGGGTCCTGGGCCTCTTCGAAGTCTCCACGAAACGTGGGCGCATTATTTATGTTCCAAATAGAAGTGTGACTACGCTTGAGAGCGAAATACTAAAATTTGTCAAGCAGGGAACAGAAATCTGGAAGGACGGTTGGGCCGGCTACAATCGCTTGGAGAACCTAGGAGGTGTTTCCCCCTATATCCATGAAACATTGAGCCGCACACTAAATTTTGTGGATCCAGTGACAGGAGTGTGCACTAATGAAATTGAAGGGCACTGGTCTAGATTAAAGCAATTTTTGAGGCGGCTGGGTGTCATGAAATCGCCTCATTTAGACCGGAGACCGATTCAAAAATATATTGCGACAAATTGCCGCAAAGTATACCTTTTAATATTGAATACTTTCTGTTCATTTTAGTTTACATTTGTTTTTTAATTTACTGTTTTTACTTTTTGTTTTGTTATCACTTAGAATTGCTTTTTATTTTACCGTTTGTTGTTTTTATAATTACATGAAATTGTTTTTTTTTGTTTTACTACTGTTCTTTTTTTGTTACAACTTAGAATTGCTTTTTATTTTACTGTGTTGTTTTTTGTTTTTTATAATTACATGGAATTGTTTCTTGTTTTATTGTTTTTATAATTATTTACAATTGTTTTTTAGCTTACTACTGTTATGTTTTGTTTTATAATTATTAAGCATCGCTTTTTATTTTGCCACTGTTGTTTGTTTCAGTTTTTCGCTTTTGTGTTTCATTATTTATTATACGTATATAAATTTTCCACTTTTCATATTTCCCCCTAAATGCGGAGCCTAATCTGGCAACAGTGCAGGCAAGCGCCTCTGATATACTATGACATATGCACAGACGTCAACGTCATACGGCAGATGGCGGTGGAGTTAATGGTGGAAAAACTGTTAAAAATACAGTGTTTTGGGAAAAAAATTTCATGAAAAAAGTGCTTCATCCACACTTTTCTTGTTTTAAAATAATGTATCAGACTACCCTCTATAAGTTTCAATTAAAAAAACAGTGAAATCGGAAGTTCTACAAAACGCAACAGCACCGGAAAAAACACCCAGTATCGCATATCAATTGAAGAAAATAATATAAACGTGAATAAAAACTCAACAATAGTAATTAAAACATGAATTTAATTCAAAAATCAAACATTTCTTAAAAATTTGACTGAATTATATGCAATTTCTTAATATTCAATAAGCTCGTGATGTTTCAATGACAAGTTGTGATCTCATACTTTGACAGTATTTTGTTTTCAACATGTCATAGCTATTGGCTGCTAAAATTTGTTGATTGGAACTTGAAGCTCATTCGATGTATCTGACGGTCTGTTACCCTATAGGTTGAGAATAACGGACTGTTGCTGGTGAAATTGGTCTTAAGTAATTCAAACCAACAAGTCAGCTCTGCAAGTTTTTAGGTTTCCATGTGTCAAAAAATTTCAAGTGAATTTTCTATACGCAAGCGACACCTTCTGATAAAATTGTCCTTTAATCTTTGAAATGAATTTGCGTTTTCCATAACTTTTATTTTTGCTTCATCAATTTTCTGGCGCAGTTGGTTGACATTTGTATATTCAGATGTATAGATTATCCCT